AAGTACTCACTCTCTGAGCCATCTTGCCGGCTCTTAAGTCATGTTTTTTATTTTAAAATTTTGATATTAGTATCAATCCATTTCACCTAACACAGGTCATGAGATATTTTTGGATAACTATTGTTCAATCATATGTGGATTATTAACATATCTTATATGGAGAATTAAAAGCATACATACCTTACCAAATTAGTTCTAAGTTTTTAAAGAAGCTATCAAATAATTAAAAGCATAAATCAAGACAGCAAATGCATAGCAGATATGACAGGCTATTGATCAATATGATGTTAAGGGACAAGGCTCCTGGACAGTGTGTGTCCCTAAAGAACAAAGGATTTATCTCCTGAACCCATACTTTTATCCCCAGCTCCCTTCTCTGGAACCCTGAGAGAAAAGCTATCAGTGAGACCCTGAAATGAGGATGCAGACAGCATTCCCTGATGGTGTGTGGACAGGGTTCCCGTTCAAATCCTTCCTACCCTCTTGAGGTTACCTGTCTAATCAAAACTTCTCCCAGAGAATTTTAAAGTACAGTTCTTTTGATTTCTGAAGAATGACTCTCAGTAGCTCCAAGACCCCACTTACACTCTAAGTGAGCTCTCCTTTTATTATAGAGGGTGCCGGGATAAGTCAGGTAGCATTAGAGACAGTTCACACTCACCTCTGTCGAAGGCCATCTTGACATCTTCGATGTGTTCGGTGAACCCAGAGACTCTGTAAATTCCCTCTGACTTTAATCCTGCAGGGCAGGGGATAGCAGAAGAAGGGAGAGGACTTTAATTTTGGTGTCCCACAGCATCTAAAAAAGCCACCCTAATTTTCTACCTGCACCAAGTGCTGTCAGGAACTGAGCGGATTTGGTTAGCCACCTGATCTATGCATCCTCATCCTGTTATGTTTCTCAGAATCTGAACTTTTTCTACAAGCTCCTCATGAGTCTGTCTTCATCTGCTTGTTGGCCATGGGCTCCTCAGTGGAGACCAGGTCTTCCTCCTCCCTGGCTGCAAAGTGAGCTGAGAACTTCGACTCTCCCTAACTACTTTTGGTCTTCAGACTTCTGCACACCTATTTCACTAATGCAGACAGAGCTTGGCTTTCTCCCTGACTTCTTATTCAGCCATGTGGTATACTGTACATAGTCACCCTTGAGTGTGTGCAATACATAGTATCCAGAAGTTGCTGGAGAAATCTAAATGTTATTGCCTTATATGTTTAATCATAAATAAGACAGCATGCTAACTTACTAAGTATGTCTGATTTAATTATTCTGCCTTCAGATAGCTAATCATACAAATAGATGTGGTAAAGTTAAGTTCTATTTAATAGCTTGAAATCTTAATCACTGTAAGAAAAAGAGTATATTTCTACCCTCTTTATTATACTGATGTGTTGGACACATGCTGAAACCTAGCTTGCTCTCCTATATCTAGTGGGTGACATATAAGATCAAAATAGCAGAAAGATGAGAGGATCTGGTTCCACACATAAAAGATGATCTGTTGTCAAAACTGACCTTCCGCAAAAACGTGTAAACAATTGTATTCTAACGCTTGTTAACTAACATACATTCCTGGGTTTGACTTTTTACTTATATGTGATATCTGCCATATATGAAGGCCTGTACTGAATACAAGGAGTGGGTGCCTCTGCTCTTTTCTGAGACCATGGCAGGCGTGCTTAATCTTGAGAAGCTCTCATCTCTCATGGCAGGCATGCTCAATCCTAGCTCTGATGTTAGACAGCAGGCAAGCTAGGTTAGCTTCACCTCTACCCTCTCACCTCAGTTAATCTCCTCTTCATGTTCAGTGCCCACTGTTGAAATTGACACTCTTGATTCACTGGAAGTGACCCACTATTCCAGGTGGCAAGCTCACCCCGGCAAGGGTGGGGCACGCATTGCCAGAGAGGGAGGTCACAGCCGTTTATAGGAGTACACAGTATGCAGAGGGGAGGGGACATCTAGGGAGGACCCCCCTCCCGAAGGTGACCCCTGGAGGCAGTCCTGAGAGACGGACTGGAGTTGGAAGAGCAGTGGAGGCTGCCATCCAACCCTCCAATATTTGTTTTCTTATCTTCCTACTCTAATGGAACACTTGGTCCCAAAGCAGCATCCGCTGTAGTGGCCATTCACCTCTTTGTTTTGTTGACTGTGGACAACAATGTGACCAACCACCCCACATTTCTTCTGCCACGCCTTCCTATGATGAACTATACTCTCAAACCATGAGCCAAAAATAAATGCTTCCTGTCTGCAGTTGCTGTTGTCTGGTATTTTGTCCCAGAAATGAGAGAAGTAATTAACACAGCTGGCCATGCAGGAGGAGCGGAGGGGACCAGCACAAGATGTGCCCTGTATGTTGGCCACTGTACAGGTCCCTCACATGCATAGACTTCTTTTGATGCTCAGGACCACCTTTGGGGGTACAACTGATTTCACTCAATTTACAGAAGAGGAAGTGTATTCAAAAAGGGAACAAGTCCTTGTTTAAAGTACCCAAAGAGGAGGACAAAGACATTGTTCTCTGTGACCTGTGGAGCTTTGGGTGTAGTCATGTGTTTATTTGTCCCCCTGATTTATTCAATCTACCATCCTGAGGTTGCGAACAGAGACTTTTGCATCATCAATATCTAGCCTGTATTTAAATGCTCAGGAAACATTTGCAGAACATGGACACGCATGCCTTACATAGGAATGCTATAGTATATTTAGCTGTATGTGTGTTTTTGTGTGTGTGCAAGTCATTGTTGTAATGGGTAGTAAAGTGAGTTGGATTCCTCAACGAAAATGCAAATTAAAATCAACATAATACAGTAAATATAATTAATATAATATAATGGTAGAGAGAGCATTTTCCAAACCTCTTGCTTCAATTTCCCGAATACATATGTCTACCACCATGGGTCTCTGAGTATTGTGAGCTTTCACAAGCGTGGTGAGGTCACAACAGTATACTTTCTTGATCCTCTTGAGATCTGGCTGGCAGTCATTGGGGACATGCTTGGAACACTGTTTGTGCACATTTAACCCACAATCTGTGAACAAAGAAGCCACATTAGCCTTGCTGTGTCCTTTTGTCAAACCCCCACAACAAATCATATGCTGTCAAAATACATATTATAGTACCCAAAGATTTGGTGGATTTCCCTGGAATGCCCATCAAGAGATGGTACTTCCCGCTAGATGTGCATGAGCTCCATCTTGACCCTGAAGTTTTATATGACTGAACTGTCCTTCTGACTGTCTCTGTTTTCAAACAGGACACCTTACTGAGATGGTCAGGATGCTAGTAGGTCTTTTTAGATTGGGGTTCCTGGGGGGTCCACAGTGAGCTTTGGGGCATAGATTCTCAGAGTTAGTCTTGGCTAATTATGGGCATTGAGGCTCAATGTAGGCTGTGCCCTTAAGTCCCCGTTGCTCCGTTGTGGGATGTATAGTAACTCTGTCCGTAGGACTGTCTGGTTTTTGGTTGGCAGAGTTCCTGATTGTATTCACTCTGCCTTTCCTGGAGACAGCCTGAGTTTCTGATCCTTCTCGCTGGAAGTGGGAGGGGGCCATTCCTCTTCCCTCACTGTACTGTGATGTAGTAGAAGTGATGTTTAACCCTACTCTGGTACAATATCCAAGAGCATATATTGACAACAATGCCTGTAACGTGATAGTTACAGTAATTATGTATAAAGCGCGTATCTAGAGCCAAGGTTGAAAAGGTGCTTTTAAGTTCAATGCACAAATTAAAAGCCTTGTTAGAAGCTGGCATCTACCAACGAACTTTCTTCACAATTACGAGACACAGTTTGCATTCTGGGAAATGCAAGTTTAATGACAAAGTTGCTCATTGTAAATGTGCTCTGTGCTTACAATGTCTTCTAATATTGTTTTTCCTAGGTATAAAAATAATATTTCTACACATATGAGGTGCATGTACAATAATGAAAATTGTGGTCAATGACTTATAAAAACAGTGTTCACCACAGCAAAGGTTTGGTACGTGTTGACTTCTGTCCAGGCACCAATGGTGATTCCCAGGTAATATTTCCGGGCTCAGTTCTCTGCTCTCCCTTTCAAAGGAAAAGTTCTAACCGTCTTAGCTTAAGCAGCATGTGAAATTCAACTAAAGCTAAGTACAATTCAGTTTCATTTTGATGGAGCTACTTAGTGGCTGTAAATTTGCATTTGGACTGAGCTAACCAGAATCGGCTTTCTTCCTGGGATCCTGGTTTTTAAAATGGGGATTACACCAGCACCAAGTGATCATGAAGGTCAACTAGAGACATAGTATTTCCAATCTAGTAGTGTGCCAGTGCTAAGTTAAATAGGATACAGCAGGTACATGGAGAGGAGACACAGAGGCCAGTCCAGCTGTTCTTTCATTAGCGAATTTTACTACATTTTACAAACTTCATTCATAATTTAATTTTCGTTAAATTGTACCAAAAGAGACATAAGATATAGTCACCATTTTAACCATTAAATCACAATTTATTTACATTTATTTTTAAATTAAACTTTAATTTTAAATAGTTTAATAATTATTTAATTTACTTATTTATTGGAGACAGGGTTTCACTGTATATTACTGGCTGGCCTGAAACTTGCTATATAGGCCAGGCTGGCCTCTATCTCACAGAGATCCAGCTGCTTCAGCATTTTAAAGTGCAGAGTTAAGTGGCATTAAATAAAAAACGTGGTCGTATAGCTACTGCCACCACCTGCTATGAAAGTCTGAGCATTCCTGCAGCACTACAACCTGATGCCCACCAAACAGTAACCACACACACACACACACACACACACACATACACACACACACCCTGGGCTCACTCACTGGCAGTGACAGTCAGTGGGGTCCTACCTAGATTCTAATAGCTGCATTCCTTTGCACTTTGCTTGGGCTTCTTCTTTTATAAGAGTGATGAACCTTCCATGTGTGTCTATGACACCTTATCTGTCCGTCCATCAGTGGGGCTGGGTTCTATCAGTCTTCCAACCATGATGAAGGGGCCTGCAAGTGTCTGACACAGACACTGCCTTTAAGCTTTAGGATTACACTGCAATTTGGTGCTTAATTTTCTTACAGACTTGAAGACATTTAGTTTATTTATATAGAGCACTGATCCTATTAAAACTAGGATGTTGTGTAGCAAACAGAATGGTGCCAAAATAAAATCTGGACCATTGGAAAGTATCTGTGCTATGGAGAGCTGAGGCCTGTGGGGACTCCCTTGACTATCAATGGCCAGTTTCTAGTCTTCCTGCTCTTCAGGGGGAAATATTAGATCAGAAAGTAACCACTGGAGACAACTTACAATATAACTTTACATAATGTTTCCTTTAAAACAAAATAGAAACAGAAACAAACAATTAAGAAAAGTCTCAGAACCCTTCTGTCCTAAAGAGAGTTGCTGATTACAGCTAACTGGAGCCCAGAGACCTGTTTCCATAATATTGACTTTGGACCAATTTCCTGCTGAAACTGGATAATGTCTGCGACAAGAGATATTTTTGGTAGGTATAATCTGGACAGCCCTAACTAACAAGCACAGAGTAATTCAGGTGGTAGACCACCGCACTCAGGGGTTGAGTTGTGGGATGCTGTGTGGAGCCTCCCATGCCGGGTTCTGTGTTCAGAAGTGTATTAGAACACTCTGCCGAGGCTGTTTCTGGTCTGGGTTTGCCACCTGCCTCAGGACCCAGGATGGGAAGCTGGAATTACACACCAGCTAGGCACTGACGTGTGCGTGGCTGTGCTTATAGAATAAGGGCTAAGAGAGCACCTTCCATATAGAAAGGAAGGAGGAGGACAGTCTTCCCACAGACTAAACGGGCACCACACACACAGGATAAAGGCACTCGTCAGTGGGAGCCGTCAGCTGATTCTATTGTTATGTCTTAGGAAGGAGGCAAGCAGTCACAGAATCTGTGGTATTGCAGTCAACACCAGACGCAGCTGTTCCTGCTCTCAGTGCCAGTGTGTGCCAGGAAAAGCATGGCATGATGAGTGAGGAAGCCCAGCTAACGTCTGATTTGGCAACCCTTTGCATTTTGTCCAGTGTCCCTTAAAGAAGATGTGTTCCATGATATTTGCAGTTGGGGGTATGCAGCCAGTTATAGATGGAAAACACCCCGGGGTGGAACTACTTTGAAGTGTGTAAAATCAAGATGAATTTGATCAAAATGCATTGTATGAAATTCTTGAAGGATGAAGGAAAAACATTATTTAAATTATTTTTAAAGCTAAAAACTTAAACTATTTAATGGACGTAATTTCACTATCGATCTGATGGCAAATAATTCAATGCGAGTTCTGGACTCCTGCTACTTTTAAATTAATGTTTCATCGCTTAGCATCTGGTAATTAGCCTCCTCATGGTAAAAAGACTCCTCCTTTTTCATTTAGTAGGAGATAACCATATCTTCCTTTGGCTTTGTTGGTGAGGGTGCAGGCATGAAGATGTTTAGCCATGAGTTTGCGGCAAATAATCATCACACTCACCAGTGTTGTTTTATATCCCATCTGCTATAATAAAACGGGATAGAAAGGATTCATAATGTATAGGAAAGATATATAATAAGATGGCATTTTAGAAACCTATGCAATTCCATTAGAATCTATTTAAACCATTTTCTCTTAAGGGCTACTGTACAGTTGGGGAGGCAGGTGCATTTTAAGGAAGTGTACTTGTTTGGTGGCTTTTCATTCTTGTGTGAATATAGGTTCTTGTAAACACTTAGAATAGTCTTCCCAATGAAGAGAGGAGGTGGGGGTGCTTTGGGGCCCTTAAGAAAGCCAGATTTCTGAGCTCATCTAAGCAGTCCCCAGCTCTGAAGGTTGCTTCCCACTCAACAAGGTGGCACTTGATGTAACAAGGAGAGGACAAAGTTTTGTGTCTACCTGAACACCGGACTCCTTGGGCAATGAGTCCCCACATGAAGTTGGCACAGTACTCACACCAGTGTGGGCCTCGGAATGTGTGCACCTGTGAGCCAAACAGAAGAGCACAGAAGGTTCAATCAGCCAAAGGCATCAACCACGAACCAAAGAAAAGCCTCAGCAGCGACGCTCTGTCCCTCTTCCCGGCCAGTGACCCAGAGCTGCACGCTGGTCTGGAAGAAACAGACAGGCTTTGATCTTAGAAATTCATACCCGGGCATGAGCAGAATGTGGGGGAAAAGTGAGACTACAGAAATATACAGAGATGGAATGAGACTATCACAGTCCAAAAGGGCTCTGTGAGTGCAAACCCAAGATAGCCTGAGCTGGCCAGCCTGCATTTAGCTCTGCAAGTTGTTTTGGGCAGAAGAACTCAATTACTGTGTCTTCTTGACTGAAGTTGCTCCATCCAAGTGCAGAATTTCCAGCCAGATATAAATAAGCCATGGTTATGGGATAATTAAAAGGTTTCAAAGCCTTGAGACACTTCCAGAAAAAGGCATTTAAAAAAGTAAAGGAGTTGGTGCAAAATGCAGGCTTCAGGGCCCACGGAGTGGCTTTCCCAGGGACAGATAGGGCCTATATTCAGCCAGCCCTGCAATGGCTGAGTAAGTTGGCAGGCTGGTCTTAACGGTTCAGTATCTCAACTAGCCGTTAAATATTCCAAATGCTACAAAGTAAGAATGGTTTTAGCTTAGGTTGTTCAGGTGCAGGGCCACGTATTAATCCATGAATCAACGTAACAACGCACAGCCCAGAACAGCACAGCACAACTTCACACAATGCAAAGCAAAACTTCTCTAGCACCGAGGAAGTTCAAAAAGCAAAAGCAGAGGAACCTGTGCTGTCAAACCTGGCCAAGATGAGCTGAAACCCCACAGGCAAGCGTACTGAGATCAAGAGCCCATGAGGAAAAGGTACTTCAGGGTTTTCACAAAGTTCTTCCTTAAACCTCAGTTAAAGCTAAGATAAGCCAGACAATGACATTTTTAACAAGGTAGGGGGTCAATGTACTGTTTGTCCTTAAAAATACCATTCTTAGCTAACGAACCAAAGTAACAAACTCTGTCACCGTTTGGAAGGTGAGCGCTCCTTGAGGAGAAGAAACTGGGACCCCTGAAGAAGGAGCAGCTGTCCAGTTCCTCTGCTCATCTACACAAACTGGCACTGTGTCCAAAGAGTGGCAAGCCACGTCAGCCTCCCAGGGGAACTCAAGTATAACCCACAGCAATAGAAGAACACAGCGATGAATCTGAAGGTGTGCCTTATGACCACGGCGCTATGCGGTAAATCCAAGTTATAATCGCCGCTCGTGCGTTTTAGCTCGGTAAGTTGCCCAGTACATTGTTTCTGTTTTGAAAAATGTCAAGATGCCAATCTCAAAAACTGTTTTTACTTGAATGGAGAAGTGTTCCCTTTGGGTATGATCCCAACCCATGACAAAGCACTCCTTGTAGGAATGCGGAGAATCCACAGGGCACTTGCATTTTCCAAATGCCACGATTCATTTCTAGGCCCACTGAAACAGAACTCCATACTAAAAGAACTCTTGGGGAAAATGAGCCACCAAGAGCCGAACATATTCTGAATTCAACAACCATTAATGTTTTACCAGAAAAGTGCTAAAGGTGCCAGTTAATTTTGGCAGAAAAGTTGATTATTGATATACTGTTGAAATTGTACCTTAAGGAAAAATAATATATAAGTTAAAACTAGTGTGAAAAGGGCTACAGAAGAAAGGTGAGGTTGCTACTGTAGGGAAAATGGGGGTGGGGCACTTTCCTGGATGGCCCTGGAAGGTAACTCAAGCTGGTTCTGCAGAGGAGGGTGGAGGAGGCTATTCTGGACAGTAGGGATTATGGAGATTCTGTAGGAACAAAAGAGCTTGGTGTGACTAGGAAACTCAAGGCTGATGTGGCTAGAAAGAGGGGAGGGATAGGAGATGCAGGGGAGGGCAGAAAAGAGAAAGCCTCTGGGGATGTCTCAGACTTTCTTTGTGATGCAGATTTGGAAGAGGCTCAACAAGGCACTCCAGGAGGATTTGAAGTAGAAAAGTGATTCCTTCAAAAGATTTTTTTTTAACCTCCCCAGCCTCCCACCTTATCCCCACTCACTTCCCCATAGGGGATCTCCAGAGTCTGTCATTTCGTTCAGGGCAGGGCCTAGGCCTTTCCCCAAGAGTCCAGGCTGAGAGAGCCTCCCTCATTGTGAGATGGGCACACAAAGTCCATTTGTATGTTAGGGATAAATACTGATCCACTGCCCAGGGCCCCATAGACTGTCCAGGCCTCTTCACTGACACCCACATTCAGGGGGTCTGGATCAGTCCCATGCTGGCCTCCCAGCTGTCAGCCTGGGGTCCAAGAGCTCCTCCTTGTTCAAGTCAGCTGCTTTTGTTGGTTTCACCAGCCCATTCTTAACTCCTTTGCTCATCACTCCTCCTTCCCTGTCACAGGTTTCCAGGGGCTCAGTTCAGTGTTTAGCTGTGGGTATCTGCCTCTGTCTCCATCAGTCAGTGGATGAAGGTTCTAGGATGGCGTGTAAGATAGTCATCAAACTCATTATCAGGGATGGGTATTTAAGATAGTCTCTCTACTATTGCTTAGTTTGCCAGTTGGTGTCATCCTTGTAGATCATTAGAGATCTCACTGGTGCCAGATCTCTCCTGAAACCTATAATGACTCCCTCTATTATGGTATTTCTCATCCTATCCTCCCCTGTTCTTCCCCCAACTTAACCTTCTTGCTCCCCCATGACCTCCTCTCTCCTCCTTTTCTCCCCTCCCCTCCCCACCCCTGCTCCCAATCTGCTCAGGAGATCCTGCCTCATTCCCCTTCTCTGGGGTACCATGCATACCTCTCTTATGTTCTTTCCTGTTTCCCAGACTCTCTGGCAGTGGGATTGTAGGCTGGCACTCCCCTGATCCATGTCTAAAATCCAGTGAGTACATATCATGTTTGTCAATAGATTACCCTGAGCCTCTGTTGAGCATGGGTGAGAGGGTATCAACAGCAGAACGGGTTTGGAAACTGCGAACATGGTGGTCTCATTGAGGAGTGATGGAGGCTAAAAGCAGAACGCTGACAGGAAAGATGGGGAGGGCCTGCTGCATATTTTGAAGATGAAATGTGTACAACCTCACAGTAGAAGCACGTGGGGGGGGGGAGAGAGAGAGAGAGAGAGAGAGAGAGAGAGAGAGAGAGAGAGAGAGAGAGAGAGAGAGAGAGAGAGAGAGAGAGAGAGAGAGAGAGCGCACCTTGGGAGCATTATGAGTTTTTGTTTTCCCTCAGGAACCAGGTGGAAGGTTTGATGGTGGGGGCCTGGGGTTGCGGGGGGAATCCTCCAGTGTGGAGAAGACTAGAGCTTGGCTTTGGGTAAGCTGAAGAAAATGCCACCATGCCAAAGTGCTAGTTAAAATAGGAAGTCACCTGAATTTGGTGGCTTGGAGGAGGACTGGGGGTTATATGTGGCCATCCCTGAAAAAAAATAGATGGTGTTTTGGACTGGGCAAACGGATTAAAAAGTATCAGGGATAGGGAGGAAAAAGCAAATAGAAAGAGTGCGTGTCTGGTCCTCCATTCTCCACTACGTAAAGAAGAGCAAGAGAGTAAAGCATTTCTGACACCAACAGGTGAAGATTGCTTTAGGGAAGGGGTGGGTGACCATGTTGGATGCTGGTTAGAGACCCTATTAGGGAGGTACTAAATGTCGATTTGGGTACAGGGAAGTCATTGGAAATCTTGCCAGACTCAGTCTCTTCGGAGACTGAACCCAGATTTAAGGGTTCAATCTGAACTAAAGTGGGGAATAATGAACTAGAGAAAAATGTAGAAAAACCAATGAAGGAGCTTGACTAGCCAGGTTCCGTAGTTCAGGAAAGCCAAGGAAGGAGAACTGAAAATTTAAGGTCCCTCTGGCAACAGAAAGACTGACTCAAAGGGCAAAAAGCAACCTGCTAAGTCCAATCAGTTCTATCCAGATGTGCATGGGCCATCCCACTGCGTCATGGGAAACATACCAGGGGTCACACCCTCAAAAAACAAGGACCTTCTTCCTCCCAACAGTCATCAAGTGACAGTAACTCCTCAGTAAGGGGTTCATATGATCACATTTCATTTTCACATGTATACATAGCTCAAGAAGAAAGAAAATTGTAATAAAAACAAAAGCTTGGCAAGAATGAAAATATGAAAAGGGAAGGAGGCCTCTGGATGCATCTCAGTGGCAGATGCTTGCTTTGCAAGCTTGAAGCCTTAGGTTTGGCCCCCAGTACTACAGGAAGAAGCTTGGCTGTGCTGCTGCTCAGGGAAAGAAGACAGGACAAGGGAGTTGTGGGCTCAAGAGACGGGGTTTTGACAAAGTGGGAGACATCGGGGTATGTTGAACTGTCAATAGGATTGATTCAATAAGTCACTGTAGATGCAGAATAGGCAAGTATATGCAAAGGCACGATGACCCCGAGGAGCTGATAAATGATGGAGTATTAGAAAGTGATGGGTACAGCCAGGGGGTGGTGGCGCACGCCTTTAATCCCAGCAGAGGCAGAGGCAGGCGGATCTCTGTGAGTTTGAGGCCAGGCTGGACCGACAGCCTCCAAAACAATACAGAGAAACCCTGTCTCATAAAACCAAAAAACAAAACAAAACAAAAACAAAAACAAAAAAGAAAGGGATGGGTGCAATACTGAAAGAAAAGAATATTTAGGATTTTTCAGAATTAGTAAAAGGCACAGAAACATCAGATTAAGAAAAGTGAAATGACTTTCAAACAAATTAAATAAAAACAATCTATCTCGACACAGATCGTGGTAATGCTGTTCAAACCCAGGTCCCGAAGACGTAACAAAAGCAAAACCACTCTCTGGAAAAGGATAACACTTAAGTTGAAGACAGACATTTTTCATCAAGAATGAGGCTATAGATCATAGAATAACTCTGTCACATCGTGAGCCTAACTTTCATACACACTTCATTATGGAAGGGTAAAATAATGATATCTTTTCTGGTGGACAATAAGCACTTTCGATCTTCATGCAAAGAAATAGAGGCTATGCTTCCATGAGTGGCAGGAATCAGCAAAAGGAGTACCAGCCAGGATGCAGTGGGGCGTGAGAAAAGAAGATGTACCTGTCCCCTTGGTTCTGTCTGCAGAAAACATCAACACTGGAACTAATTCCAGTGATTTAGGAGCAGGGCCAGAAATGAGAAGGACTGAATGAGGATAAATGTTGACTCATTGCATGGTCTTTACACTTTAGGAGATGTAAGAAGAATTCTTTGTTAACTGAGGAATGTTTTAAGTAATTAGAGGCATAGTGATTTTCTTTGAGTACCTAGGGGGAAAAATGCATAGAGTCCATAAATTAAGAAAAATATCAACAGGGGAAAATGGCACACAGATTTGATCAAGCCAATAAAAAGTAAGAAAAAGCAATAAAACCAGTGTACATATGTAAAATATTTATAATTCTCTAATGACCTATGAAGAGGAAAAACAGACTTGCAGATGATATTTAGCAAATATTTATAAGAAACACACTCCAAAACACAATGCCAGAGGTATATTGGAACCAAAAAGATGCACCTGAAAAATGGTAGCCAGCCCACCGAACCCAATAAGCCAGATGTACCTATCTGCATGTTTAGTGATAAAAAGGCCTAACATTGGTACATTTTATCAGAAAGACACAACTACTTTGAGCTTACATGTATGTAACAACCCAATTTCAAAAAGCTAAAATAAACATGGGACAATTATAAGGAAAAGTTGACAATTGTGCCATTATAATGAGTTCAACACATATTTACTAAAATTGATAAATAGATATCAATAGACTACATAGGAAAGGGACTTTGTACCTAACAGTTCAAAGAATACCACCCCCCCCAAACACACAGAGCATCTACAAAAGCTGACTGCTAACTATAAGGTGAGACAGCATGATGGGGGCCTAGAAAGGTGGGCTTGGATGTTGAAACCTGCAAGGGATGCAGGGTGAGGGATGACACAAAGCTCCCTGGGGCGTATCTAGTGTTTCAAGGAGCCTCAAGGGGCAAAACTCAAGGTTCAGTAGTTAGGAAGGCAGTTTCAGGGTTTACTGCTCATAGGTGGGGGTCTAACCACCAACCACTTCCAGAAACCAGGGGCTGCTCATCGCACAGTTCTAAGCTTCTCTTCTGCCAGCAGTCTGCAAAGTCATCATCCAGCCCATCAAAACTGTGTTTGGTGCTTATCAGCCTGGCCGGCATTTAGCCCACGTCCTTTCCTCACAACAAATGCAGGCAGACCCCACAAGGAACAAGTGACTTTCCATGACCCTGCTTAGTCCCACACTGGTAAAATACAATATGAAGGAGGGGGAATGTGAGTTAGACAAACATTATTTTAGGCCCACTGCCCAATTTCCTCTTGAGGATGGGCCACTGTTTATTTTTGTGGTTGATGTGTTATTCAGTTTTCTTTTGGAACCTGAGGAGAGAAGGGACTCCAGGGAATGTTGTGGGTGTGTGTGCTCTGGGTTGAGGTCTGACATCTCTGTGAAAGACTCCATATCTTTAAAAAAATCACTAATCAGCCCTTTCTATTCTCTGAAACTTACTGATTTTCAAAATGTTTTTTTTTCTTTAAGAGAATGAACATTTTGCAAACTCAAGGGCAGTAACTAAAATACCCCAGACAGGAAGAAATTCTCCAGACAGGAAGATTGTTTGCCCAAGACTATTATACTGGCATGGTCCACTTGGAATTAAAAGCCACAGCAAACAACGAGATGGTATTAAAAGCGATAAGGTGTTGGATAAATGGTCCAGAGATGGGCATGCAATAATAACAAGAGGAAGAACTGTCCAGAAAGTCACAGGCAGCCAGCGGGCATCCACTCGGCTCCCTGGAGATGAACAGGATGTTATTGTCTCGCATTTGCTGAATCTGGAAGGTCTCCGGAGTGGTTTCAGAGCAAATGTTTTGATGGGCCAGTGCAGATACCACTGGAGCTTACGGTCAACTCACCCAGACTCTGACTGTAAGCAAATGCTACTTAAGAAGTGCTGTGGTGAGGAATTTTTACTTTTTCTTATCAGTTCCTATCAGTGTTCCTTGACCTTATTCTTGTTAACATTTTTGGGCCAGAAAATTTTTGGTTGAGGTGGCAGGTGGCTGTCTTGGGCACTACAGGGATATTTTTCTTTTTCTCCAGCTTCCCTGACTATCTACGTACCAGAGGCTTACGGTATCCCTCAAGGGATGCGCCATAAATATCTCCGGACATTGCCAAGTGCTTCCTGGGAGGGGGACCATGCAGCCTTGATTGGGACTCACTGACACAGAACAAACCCTTTTGCCCCAGCTTATCAGTTCTATTATTCATATTAAACACAGGAATTTCATTCTTTCTTTTTACTTGGAAAAGGACTGCAGGGCTAAAGCCACTTTTCAGACTGCTTAATGTGTATAAAAGAATGGCTTGGAGCTGGCAAAAGACCCTTCCAGACTCACGTGCCTGGGTTTCGGAGGTTTAGAGTTCACTGTGGGAGGGAGAGGAGGCAAGGTAGCCTCATTTGCCCAGAACGCCAGGAGCACAGTCAAGGCCTCCAGGTTTCCACAGAGGACTGTTCCTCTAATTTACTGTTTCCCACAATCATGTGACAATGAACTCATGTGAGAAATTAGATTAAGCTCTGGGCTTTCCCTTCCTGCTGGAGCAGATCAAATTTTGACCCTGCAGTGAACCTTCTCAGATGTGAGTAGATAGTGACGTCATCTGTAACAGACACTTTCTGCTTGCTCTGTGAAGCCCACTGCTAAGAGTCTGCGAGAGAGCCCTGCGCTGAGACAGGGGCTAATGGAGGCACCCAGGACCCCTGAGACATCTTCAGTAGCTGCCTGGGTATTTGAAATCTGATTAGAGATGTGGTCCCAAGGTAAAGCTGGGGAGAAGCTCAGAGACCTAGCCTTGTTGACAAAGCGGAATTCGACAAACTATGAGCAAGGCCTCAGCTTCATGCTTGTCATCCCAATGGTGGGCCTGAGAGACTGAAGATTTGGAGTTCCCTGGCTGAGGGAAGCCCTCAGACCCTCCCTTAGCAAAGGTTCTGAGGCAAAGCTTCAGGAAATTTATGCTAGAAACACCGAGGCAGGGACAGAAATGAAGCTGACACAGCAGCATCAAGATGCGAGGGCAGGCAGCAGCAGTTGCACATTTGGGAGAGGAACTATGTTGTGTGAAAGAGGGGCTGTCTTCCTAAACTATCGCTGGCCATGAAGCCTTTCCTGGATCTTCTCCTCGAACTGAGATATTCTTGCGCCAGTTTCTCCTCTGGCTTCTATTCACCTCTTTCTGAGGTCTAAGGCCGTACCACCCTGAAAATGCTGGACTCTACCTGATCTCAGGAGTTAAGCAGGGTCAGACCTGGTTCTTGCTTGAGTAGGAGAAACCAGAGGCCCCTCCCCCCCCACTCCCACCGCTCCCTGGAGTGTGGTCTTTCCTTCTCAGTGCTGTGGACTGACAGCTGAGTGACACTACTCTGAGGCTGTCCTGGCCACATACTCCCTGGCCCTTCTGGATGTCACTGGTACATTTGGTGTGATGAAAAACACAAAGCCAGCCAGGTGGTGGTGGCGGCACACACCTTTGATCCCAGCACTCAGGAGGACGCAGGCAGACAGGCGGGGATCTCTGTGAGTTCAAGGCCAGCATGGTCTACAAAGTGAGTTTTCAGGACAGCTAGGGCTACAGAGAAACCCTGTCTCAAAACAAACAAACAAAAACCAGCACATCTCTAGCCATTTCCAAATGTCCTCTCTGTGGTCAGAAGTGTCCTGGCTGTGAAGCCCTTGGCACAAGAGTGCAGCCATTTCTCCCTCAGCACTTTCTGGCACCTGGTACACAAGCAGCCTGCAGTCTGTGTTGGTGGAGTAAAGGCATAAATGCCCGAGAAGCTCTCTTTTCTGCAAAGTTTCAGAAGGAGTCCCCTAGTATGAATTGTGACCACTGGTGCTCACTCTCTTGTCCCATACAAAACACAAAAGGCTATTTCTCTGGGTGGAAAGTGCCAGGGTCGGGCATTTAGTCATTTAGAATAGTCCTTTTGAATTAGTCCTTTGACTGGATTTAAAGTGTTATTTAAATCCAGACAAAGCCCATAAAAAATTAAAAACAGTTACGCACGTGATAGGGGTCAGACTCTGTAGCCAGTACCGGACACTAAGAAGCTGTGTGGCCTAACATGGACACTCTGCTGGGGGTTGCATCAGAGCCCATTCTTCATCCTGGGCTCTGCTGTTCTGCTAGGGATTCCCAGGGACAGTGACGAAGACACAGTGACACACACAAAGACTAGGTAGGTAGGAGACACACTTTAAGACCACCCTGGAACAAAGTTCAGGCATCAACTACATGAGACCCTTCTCTAAAAACTGTTTTCACAACTTGACTGAAATTCCTGCTGTGAACACAGTGGTTCTCTACCTTCCTAATGCTGCAACCCTTTAATACTGCACTCCGTGTTGTGCTGAACCCCCAATCATAACATTATTTTCATTGCTACTTCATAACTGTAATCTTACTACTGTTGGGAATCATAATGTATATATCCCTTTTCCAATTGTCTTAGGCAACCCTTGTGAAAGGGTCAGTCTACCAGGAGCTTGAGAAACACCGCTTTAGGTAAAATGGCATGTAACTAAGTCCCAAAGGATCCGTTTAAACCAGGACAACTGGATTAATTAAGTTGTTACCGTCACAAACAAGCTCTTTCAAAGTTAAGCATATACTGTCACTGTTTGGATTTTAAAAGTTCCCCCTGAAACTCATGGGTTGAAGGCTTGGTCCTCAGCTATTATGCTACTGGAAGGTGGTAGTGACTTTAGGAGGTAGAAGAAGTTTTCCTTGTTGGAGGAAGTTAAGGGCATTGGAGAGTGTGTCCTTGGGGAGATATTGGGACCCAGAACTTTTCTGCTTCTCTGTTTACTTCCTGGCTGCTATGTGGTGAGCAGCTTTGCTCTAACATGCACTTTGATTCATGATGTTCTGTCTTACCCCATACCCCAGAAATGACAGAGGCAAGAAACCATGCATCTTGGAAGCCATGAGCCAAAAAACAAACAAAAAACCCCAAACAAACAAAAACAACAACAACCAAAAACAAACAAACAAAAACCAGCCTTTCCTCTTTAATTGGGTTTATCTCAGGGATTTTGTAATAGTGATAGAAAGCTTACTAACACAGCTCCTCACTGTGCAGCAACAGTAAGTCTTGACTAATCACAGAGACTTAACATAGGACCCTGAATAACTTCCCATGTAGGTTAATTAGAAACCAGATGATTTTTTCAAACAAAGTAGAACATGTGTCCTAGCAGCAGAAAGAAACCCTGGAAGAATGTGGTGGAGGAGGAGCCGGGGGTTATTGAATAATGATGGCATGTCTCAGCAGAGGAATCAGTGGGGTAACAGCAGACAGGATCATGATGCAAGAGAAACAACATGGTGTGCTAGAGATGAACACACTTCCTCTCCAACTTTGCTACGGGGCAGTCCTGTCACTGAAATGGCACAGTGGTCATAGGCCATCTTGGGTAATGGCTCTGCTGTCCTGTCTTGCCTACTATTTTAACATGATAGCTCACATTTTTGTTTTGCATCAGGCTACACCTATTATGCAGCTAGAACTGCCTAACCACACATATTAACTAATAGCCATGCCAGATCCTTAATGGTAACATATATGTCATCCACAGGAACAAACCACAGCAAATAGACAGTTCAGATGCAACACTTCAAGTGGAAGGCTTTAAGATCTCTGTGTCCTTACTGTATCTCTTATTCATGAAGAAATCTTTAATAAAGAGACCAAGAAAATTCTTCACTTTCTGTCAGACCAATGAAGCACCAATAGGAAAAAAATAAATCAATGTAAACCTTAAAGCTATTGAATGAATAAACATGGATCTTAGCAGTGGTACCCACACTAGGGGATGACACTTAGTAGGAATTAGTTGCTATCAAAAGATTTCATCCTGTAGCCTGAAAGCCTCTAGTAAAATGGCAGGCTTGAACTCATGTGTGGAGAAAAAGATGTACCTCATCCTCAGCATGAGGAAGAGGTCCTTCCCCCTCAAGTCTCCTGAAAATACCAATGAAGTGCTTGGAACGAACTACACTATGTCTTGAGGTATGATAGAGTCCAACCCTTGGTCACTGAGCATGTGGTCTTTAGAAAATGGAATCTTAGGAAACATAATTAGAAAGAGGCTATGCTGGAGTAACATGATCCCAACATCCAATGACTGGTGACCTTAAAGACACCTACAATGACACAGAAGATGGTGAAATGAAGATGGAGAGGAAAACAAGTCAAGGGAACCCCGAGGATTGCCAGCCACATGGATAGGTAGGTGAGAGCATGGGACATCTCCAGAAGGAGACAATGCCCACAGTTTGGCTATAGACTCTGACATCTAAAACTTGTTTATCTTTTGAGATAGGGTTTCCTCTGTGTAACAGCCCTAGCCATCCTGGAACTAGCTCTGTAGATCAGGCTGGCCTTGAACTCAGAGATCTTCCAGCCTCTACCTTCCAGGTGCTGGGATTAAAGGCAAATACTACCATCACCCAGTCAATTTTGGTTGTTTTAAGTTGGCAAGTTGGTGTTTATTTGTTATGACAGAGGCAGGAGCTTACTGGAGTCCTCATAGATAATGACAAACTTCTTGAAAACTGGGGGAAATGCACATGGCATACAGGCCTAAAAATTTCCATTCTTCATTTACTTTTTAAACAAATGAAGGGCATTCAGGTATATGGTAGAACACATTTAAAGATTGTATCATCAGATTTAATTTCATTTTGTTATACATATTCAACGAGAGGAAGATAAGAATAGTGGAAAGTAAGAAGAGCCTGTAGAAGTGAGGACATAAAGTTAAAACAATATGTCACAGAGAAAAACAAACACAAAGACGGAGGGGAGTTCCAGGCACAGAAGGGTAAAACAGTAATAGTTCAAATGTACATCAAATGAATTCTTATCCAGGGGACAGAGAAGTTCCTGAGTATAGCATGGAAGAGGGTTCCTTAACTGCACCACCACAACAGACCTGAGGGGTTCGGTAGCAGGCTCTGCTGGCAGATTCCTATCTCAGGTAAGAGTTCAGATAGGAGCAAAGAAAAAGCTATTTGCTGATAAGCACAACAACCACGGCTATACATTCTTGTTATTCAACTCCATGCTATATGCATAATATCTTCCAATAATAAATTAGGAAAGTTCCAGGATGCAACCCATTAGAAGTCAACATAAATAAAAATCTGATGCAAAGTTAAGGTCTGAAACACAAATTACAAGGAGCTAGTGGACTGTTGGTAAATGCCTGCTTTCTTTAGTGA